TGGAAAAAAAATTAAGTTGACTGTAACACTTGCAAAGTGTGTAGAAAACACCCAGAGACCAGATTCATTGAAACAGGCCGACCTCGGTGGTGATGCATGCAGCGCCCACACTTGCCACGTGAGGGAGCTGCCACCGCTGGCAATATTCCTCTGTGCTGGCAGCATCTAATGATGCTGCCAGCGTCGTTTTGCTGCCAGCAGCGCAGGGATGCTTCCAGAACGCTGCTGGCAGCACGTTGGCAGCGTGAGGGCTGTCCTCTACGAGGAGATGCCTCGTAGAGGAGCGGCTCGGCACCTGTGGATGGGGCACTCTGGCTGGGGGGGGTAGTCGGCCTCTCACTTCATTTGGTGCTCAAGGGTTTAGGAATACTCGTCTCAACCTTGCTCTCGGCAGGCTTTCTAACCATGCGCAGCAAAGTACCCCCAGGCTCGTCCTCTCCTCGTCCTCACGTGCAGGTGAATAACTACGGGCGAATTAACTCGCCCGGCGATGACATCCGTGTAGCCATGGCAAAGAACGCGAGCAAGGCGGGAAGTCCTACCGCGGCCTCCGGTGCGAGCTGTGACGGGGACGACGGAGAAGAAGCGAACGGCGACGACGCCGAGGAGGATTGGCCAGATAACGGCCACGACGACAGCGCTTCGGGCGACGAATTAGGTCCTGCCGACATCGAGGAGGACGAATGGTGGAATCGGCCGGTCGGGAGCGACGACGAGGTGGAAGAGTGGCAGGCTGGAGATTCGGACAACGACGGAGGTGAAAATGCGAATGGTGACAACGCGGAGGCAGCGGCGGATGCACAGGAAGCGGCGATGGATGCGAATGAGGAGGCTGAAGACGGCGCGGCCGCAGTTGCGGATGCGGATGCTGTGGCAGAGTCGGACACGGTTGCTGCGGATGCCGTCTTATTTGACGGTGAAAGCGGCGACGACGACCCATGTAGCCTTGGGACAGACGACGACGTTCCGCTACTGAAGCGGAGGCTGCGCCATCGCCTACAGTCCAAGTCGAAGCGGGCCCGCGTGGTGCTCTCTGACGACGACAGTCCGGGGGAGGAGCGTCGCCCGAAACTCACCGCTGCGGAGAAGGGAAAAGCCAAGGTCGCGGAAGCCCCTGCTAAGGCCCCTGCTAAGGCCCCTGCTCGTCGCCGCACGAGCAACAAGAAGCGGACATCCGACAAAGACCCGGGATCTAGCAAGGGTGCGGCTAAGAAGAAGGCGAAGAAGGCGCCGAATCCTGACGACATCGTCGTGAACGAGACTCTGGGCAGCGACGATGAGTACGCGGCGGCGGCGGGCCCGATTCACACGTTCCCTGAGAAGGTCATGCCGAAGGACCTCACCCTCCATAATCCCAACACCCGCCCACCTTCCCCTCGCAGCAAGGACACTACGAGGAAGCGCCGCAGTTGGACCGTGCGTGAGAAGCTTAAGTGGGCGCGCCGCTATCTGGAGCTCGGCTCCTTGGAGAAGACGAGCGTGGAGTCAACTGCGTCCATCGCCTGCATCAGACGCTGGAGTGCGGAGGCGGCTGCGGGCGTCTACAAGGGCGCGGCTAACTGCCGCAAGCGGATGCACGGGGGGGGGCGCCACTCACACTACCCCGACATGGAGGCAACGTTGTACCGCTACATCTGCCTTCAGCGCGCTAACGGGGTGGCCATCTCGGTGAAGGACACCCAGAAGTGGAGCCGCGAGTGGATGAAGAAGCATCACGCCGGCAAGAACTGGAACGCGAGCTCTCACTGGAGCCAGCGTTTCCGTGACCGCTGGAACCTGGTGATGCGGGTGAAGACCAAGGTCGGCCAACGACTGTCGGCAGGTGCGTGTTGAAGGAATTCGTGTCGCGCGCGGGCTATTGAATGCATGTCCCTCACCCAGTGTCTAACCATCCCGTGTTTCCGTTGCGCGTGTACCGTTTGCAGAGTGCGCGAAGGACTGCGAGTCCTTCTGGAAGTTCGTGCGCATCAACAGGGCGCGGCACAACATCGACCTGGCCCGCATCATCAACGCGGACCAGACTCCACTATTCGTGGAGATGCCAGCCGAACGGACGATCGAGCACCGCGGCGCGCGCTCGGTCCCAATCCGCACTGCAGGCTACCAGAAAACGCGCTTGACGGTGATGCTCGCGTGCACTGCATCCGGGGAGAAGCTGCGGCCGTGGGTGTGGTTCAAGATGAAGAACGTCCCCAACTGTGAGATTCCAGAAGGTAAGCGTAATGAATTCAACCGTGCGACTGCCTGATGAGCGTGCCCCACTGTGCTGAAGCCCGTCTGTCCCTTGTGTGCCTGGCAGGAATCGTGGTCCAAGCACAGGACAACGGGTGGATGGACGAGAGCGCTGTGCAGACCTGGCTGTCCAAGGAGGTGCTGCCCCATCTGAACCCCCAGCGCGGCCAGAATGCTGGTGTTGGACTCCTACCGCGGTCACATCACCCAGACCATGCTTCAGTCGTACCGCACGCACAGCATCACCCATGCAGTCATCCCAGCGGGTTTGTACGAGCCAGATTCAACCCCTGGACGTCTCAATCAACCGGTGCTTCAAGGCTGCTGTGCGAGCGCGCTACGCCAGGTGGTTCATGCGTGAGGGGATTCACCTGAAGACGAATAAGGGTGAGTTGGTCCTTCATTTATGGTATTATTCCTATTCTGTTTCCTGTCCTTGTCTTAAACATGCTCCTTCATGTCCGTGTCTCTAACATCTCGCTGCCCCGTCCTCAAACCCACCCGCAGGAAACCTGCGGAGGCCGCCCCACCCCGTGGTGCTGCAGTGGATCGCGGAGGCTTGGGATCAAGTCCCCAAGCAGATCATCATCGACGCGTTCCGCCACTGTGGGATCTCAAGCAAGCTGGACGGAACGGAGAACCACCTGGTGATGTCTCACCTGCGCGCCAGGAGCACCACTGATGTCTCCGCGGACATGTCCCTCGGGGGGACCACAGGCGACAACACGCGCCTGCTCGGTCGGGCTCCAGAGGAGGAGGAAGAGGAGGAGGAGGCGATGCAGGCGGAGGGCGTGCGGGAGGTGGCAGTGGCAACCGGCCTGGAGGTGCTGTACCAGGAGACCCCCAACTACCGCGGGGCGGCGGCCGAGGCTGACCGCATGATCGAGCCTAGGGAGACGGCTAGGCATGCCTGGCGAGTGCCAGACCTGGGTGTAGAGCCTGTTGTTAGCGCAGGCGAGGAGGCGGTGACTGAGGGGGGTTAGGTAGAAGTAGAGATTCATGAATGTATGCATGTACCCCCCTAAAGTAAAGAAGGCTCGTTTAGAAGACACCCCCTGTTTATAAGAAAACCCCTAAACCCCGGTTCTGATTATAAGACATATATGTCTTAACTCGTACACACAAATAGGTGTCGTATAAAAAGGCTAGCCTGTTTATAAGAGACACCCGTATAGTAGACAACCCCTGTCTACTATTCAACACTGTCTTATATCCGGGCGATGACGGTACTCGCGAAGCTGCTGAGGGGTGGGGTCGTCCGGGAGAGGCAGTGACCGCCGCTGTCCACCCCTAGCCGCTGCAAATGTCGTGATAGTGGCCATGACAGGCAGTGACGGTCAGTAGTAGGTCCAGCACCTCTGGCACCAGCAGCACCTCCAGCACTCCCAATCGCACCTCCAGCACCCCCAGCACCAGCAGCACTCCCAGCACTCCCAGCAGCACCTCCACCAGCAGCAGCAGTAGCACGAGCAGCAGCAGCAGCAGTAGTAGCAGCAGGGCGGCTCGGTGGGGCTGGTGATCAAGGTAGGGCGGCGCGGCTCGGGTTGGGCAGGGCGGCTCGGGCTGGGCAGCGCGGCTCGGCTGGGCAGGGCATGCCGCGGGCTGCAGGGCAGGGCGCGCGTTGGACAGGGCAGCAGGGCGCGCGCTGTGCAGGGCAGCAGGGCGCGACGCGTGGGGCAGCAGAGCGCGACGCGCTGGCTGCAGTAGGGCGCGACGCGCTGGCTGCAGCAGGGCGCGACGCGCAGGGCAGCAGAGCGCGACGCGCTGGCTGCAGTAGGGCGCGAGGCGCTGGCTGCAGTAGGGCGAGACGCGCTGGCTGCAGCAGGGCGCGACGCGCAGGGCAGCAGAGCGCGACGCGCTGGCTGCAGTAGGGTGCGACGCGCTGGCTGCAGCAGGGCGCGATGCGCAGGGCAGCAGGGCGCGATGCGCAGGGCAGCAGGGCGCGACGTGCGGCTGCAGCAGGGCGTGAGGCGCGGAGCAGCAGAGCGCGACGCGCGGGCTGCAGCTGGGCGCGACGTGCGGGGGGCAGGCAGTGCGAGTAGCTGCAGGGCAGTGCGACACTGTGCGAGCAGGGCCGGACAGCGCAAGGGCGCTTTGGGCAGGAACAAGCGGAACTATCGGTGGGCCCTAAAAACTTAACAGGTTTCCTGCTCTGAATACCATGTCAGAATCACTGTGTAGGAATGGATGAACTATGAATGAGTAGTAACCCTAAAGTGTTGTACCCCTTGTAGGCTAACCCACTATAGCCTAGAGAGAACACAAACATATATTTTGACAGCGCGAACTATATGTTTCCAACAATGGTGGGATGGGATGAGGTGATTTTTTTCCCACGCTTACATTCTTGCTTTTGTAAATATATCAAAATATTTATGTTTACACCCCTGTTGGATATGTCTTCCCCACCAGTCTTCCCACTTCTCTCGCTCCTGTCCTCAACCCACATTTCCCATTCACCCACCACACCCCCTGGAAACCTGTTTGCTTGAACAGGAATCAAACATTTATTTGCCATTGTAAACAAAAGCAAACTTTCCTTCCTGACTACTGTTCCCAAACCTTCAGGCGCTTATTGGGCCTTTCGTCATGCAATACCGCCCTTACTCATTGGCGCGGCTTGTGTTTCAAAGCAAAAGCATGGCCTGGGCGCTCCAGCAAAGAGAAAGCTGCAGCTCTACCTCCGGACAGGTCCCTTGCTCCGAAGTACGTGTACGCAGTTCTTCTCGTCTCCCTCGCAAAAGCTCCACAATCCGTCATCGCGTCTCCTATTCGGTCGTCTGCGATACGCACGAGTCCGTGGCCACGTCCCAGTTCTGCTGCACCATGAACTTCATACCGTTGAGCCCCACCAGGTTGTACTCCGCATCGTCACCATACACATTCTGAGCTGTTTGCGTCTCTCCGTAGTCGTAGCTGCACTTATCAGCGTTTTCCTCCCCGTTGGCGTCAAACCAGCCGCTGCTGGCATTGGGATCCGTCGCCGCTTCCGCGATCTCGTGAGCGATCGTCGAAACCATCGCGTCCAGCCACGGCTTCCCGTTGGGCGAAGTCTGCTTCGCACCGCAGTTTCCGGGGCACAATCCGTGATGACCCACGAGGGAATATGCAACGGGCTTCGAATTGAGAAGGTCCATCGTGTGATACCCGCAGTACTGTGTGCAGAATCCAGAGACCTTTATGTTGGTGCTCGTGAGAAGCAGGTAGATGCCATTGGCGTCGTACGGGAACGGCTTTCCGGAGCCAATCTTGCTCTTCACAACTGCGATTTGAAGGGGGTTAGGACATTAGTACGATTCTGGGTAGGCAACAAATGATCGCGGAAGGAGGTAAGTGGTATGACGGTTTGTCGGCAAGCGAACGGGATATAGGTACTAGCGAAAGGAAGTCAACTACGGTGGAACGCAAGCTCACCTGTCCAGGGAGTGTTGGCGTTGAATTTCTTCCCTTGTGATCCTTTGTCGTAGATGACCTTCGCGAGCTTCACCTGATAAAGGAAGGGAATTCCATGAAATTCTCGTCTGAAACTCTAAATACACTTGTATCCAGCAGTACCATAGCGCGTTCAAGGTTCGCCTTTGATTTGCCTTTTCGCCAAAACCGTCATTCGTAACCTGGAACATAAAAACTGCATCCGAGCTACTGATTGCGGATGCCACGCCACGCTGGTCGTCCTGGAAGTGCCTTTTCACTCATGCTCAGGATTCAACATCTCAGTGCAAAAGACGAAACGACGTACCTCCGTGCTGACGGTGGGCGCGGACCCATCAGATGCCTGCGAGTAGTATTTCGAGCTGGTCGCCCACCAGTTGCTCACTTTCGGATCCGCGGCTTCCCCCTGCGCATCGGCGCCTCCTAGACTCAGCGACCGAATGAAATTCTCAATCACAGTCTGCGCGGATCCCTTTGGCCAGAAGCCGTAGTAGATTAAGTACACATTCAGCGTGTTGCCGCTCAGCACGGGACCGCCCCAGTATTGGATGGGAGTGGCGGACGACCCGTCCGACGCGGCGCCTCCCTGTTTGCGGAGCTCCTCCTCGCGGTGCTCCTTGTCGAAGCTGGTTTTCGTTTCGACCAGGTGCAGCGGAGGCCGAGAGCCGCGATCGACGATGTCGGTCAGTTTTCGCTCACGGTCGCTCAGCTGTCGCTGACGGAGATACCCGTCGTGCGACTGTCGCGTGCGAGCGACGCGCACCGGGCTGGCAAATGCGGGGGGGAACATCGAAAGACAGACGAGTACCACCGAAAAGGAGAGCAGCAGGGGCTTGAGGATTTCTGCCATGGGATTCAGCAATTAGCAGCAAGACTACGAGGTTTGTCACTGACAGCTGATAGTAGTCGCTGATTTGGTGCTCTGATTGAGATAGAAAGCTATACTATCTTATGCTGTCAGCATATCCACGTAATCTTATATACTGACGGTAACGATAACGCGCGCTGCTTTGGCCACGACATGCCCATCATGAGAAGCTTCGCGGGTGCCTCGTCATGGCTTTAGAGCGACGTCGCGGCGAGGCGCGCTAGCAAATTCACAAATGTGATGCTGGTGTGGAATTAGGACTGACGACATTCAATCTCACTGCCAATAATGGTGGCGGTTGTCGCTGCTAATTTCAATGACGTTCTTGCTGTGCATTGTTGGGAAAGGGTACATTGAAGAATGCATTGGAGTAACGCAAGAGCATACTACGGTTGAAAGCGGTTCTGGTCAACCTTGCTAGTACCGCTTTCTACCGTGTGTACTTGACAATCTCTGCACGCACACAACCTGAAATTCTCGCTCGCGACTCGTTTGCGAAGATTCATGGCGACTCGTGGAGGCTGAAAATAGTCGCCCCTTGAAACCACATCGACACTACGCATAGTTCTGTAGGCACCAAGTTTATAGATTATAACTCGCGATTAATTAGCCTCTAAACATTGGCTGCTAACCTGAGATCTACCGACTCTACGCCTAGATTAATTTCGAAGCCTCGATTGAGCAAAAAAAATCTCTGTAAATTTTTGGTGCCATTTTTTATGTTCAATTCGCTCACATTGTATTCTTGGCCTCAATGGGCCAATCATCGTCCATTTGTTCCATTACACTAATAACACTTGTGTATCTCTTTGTATGACGAATAACAGCCTTTAAAGGGGTAATTTATTCCTCCTCTCTCCAACTCCACACCTTCCTCGCACCCCCCTCCACCCCCCATTCCTGCTTCCTTCAAATGCCACGTGCCCAAGGCTCGCGTCGCGTGTTCCATTTCCAAGACTCCCAGTTTCGCTCGCAGCCAACCAAACTCGCCGCAAGCAGCCCCCCGTTCGCACTCCGCCCCACCCCGCCCCATCCCTCCCTTCCCTTCCCGAGCGCACCCTCCCCCCACACCACGCCCACTCAACACGATTCTTGCCCCACCCCACTTCGCGCCATCTGCGGTTGTTGCGTAGTGTCTCAATTCTTACATTTGCACTAGCCTTCATTCAGACAGAACACAAAGTCTTGCTACAAATTACTTACTAGAAACTATTGTTTGCAATCCGTTACGAATCTAGCTCGACAGTCAAGCTTCCCAATACAAAGGTCGGTTCTGCTGCCTCCCCGCGCCTTTACTACGCCGCAAAAATATTTATCGTCGTTCGTCTATCGCTGTCATGAACAGTCCCGTCCCATCACGCCCTCCCGCGCTCCGCGCGCCCGATGTCCCACCGCCAACACTGTCCAACTTACTGTTTCCTCTCTTTCCTCTCTTCCCCCACCCGCATCGCTTTTTCCGCGCACATCCGTCTCTCCGCGCACATCGGTCTCTCCGCGCACATCTGTTTTTTCCGCGCGCAGCGCCATCCGCCGTGTTATGGGCAACAGTTCTAGCAGCCACCATCGCAAGCACCACCACCACGACGACCAGCGCCGCCCCGACAACCGCTACGCCTCCCACTCCGGCCCGCTCCCCCGCCCCGCTCACTCCGCGCCTGCCGGTCCCGCGTATTCCGGACCCGCTCATTCCGGCCCCGCGTATTCCGGTCCCGCCAGCCCCGGCGCCGCGTGCCAGCACCACAGCGGCGGCGTCAGCAGCAGCAGCGGCGGCGGCGGCGGCGGCGAGTCGTACAGTCGCAGCAGCTCGTTCGGATACTCGCGCGCGCTGCAGCAGAAGTACGGCATCATCCCCGACACGTTCCGTTCCATCGCGCAGGTGCGCGGACGTCGGTTGGACAGACAGGTGATATTTGGGGCAGGTTGTATCTGGACTTCTTCCTTTGAGGCCCCGCAGAGGCTCAAGAGCAGGTCGTTTGGGTATCCGCGCGCGCTGCAGCAGCAGTACGGCATCATCCCCGACACCTTCCGCTCCATCGCGCAGGTGCGTTGGCCACGTGGCGTGTGTGTGGACAGGTTGCATGATCTTTGTCCCATGCGTGGCAGCTTTTCCTCGTCATCCACTCGTGACACGTTGGCATGTCCCTGCCACGTCACCTCCTCGCTCTTCCTCTCTCCCTTCCCCACCATCCTTCTCGCAGTTTCAGTGTGCTCTGTCTGTCACTCCCCGCCGTCTCTAACCCTCTCGCCCTTGACTCGACCCCTCGGTGTGTGCCGTGTGACTGTCTCTCCCTTCCATCTGTCCCCTGCTGCTCCGTGTGCCCTGCCCCGCGTGCCACCTGCAGGGGCAGGAGAAGCTGCGGGAGGTGGGGTTGGAGTTGCAGTGTGCTCTATCTCTCCCTCCTCCACCCCGCGTTTCTCCCCCTCTCGCCCTCCACCCGTCTGTGCCTCTCCCCCATGTGCGGGTGGTGGGGTTGGAGTCGCATGCCGCTCAACCTGTTGCGTCTGTCCCTCCCTTTCCCTCCCTACCTCCCTTCCATCTGTCCCCCGCTTTTCTATCCATCTCTCGTACGGCCGGCCGACTGCAGGTGCAGGAGAAGCTGCGGGAGGTGGGGTTGGAGTCGAGCAACCTCATCGTGGCCGTTGATTTCACCAAGAGCAACGAGTGGACCGGTGAGTCATGGGTTCTCTTGTAAGTGGAGTCCCCACTTTGATTGGGGCGTGCTGAGTGCACTGGTGCGTGCTGAGTGGACCGTTGGGTGCCCACTTTAGTTGAATCGCCTTTAACTTGTTTTGCACGTCTTGTGTAGTGTTGGTTGCTAGAGGGCTGTAAAGTAAGTCATGAGCGAGTGGTCATAGCAGGCACGCCCCTCACCACCACCAGGAGGAGTAACTACTCTTTCCTCCCCACTCCATCTCCCCTGCCCACACTCAGCCCCTTTCTCCCTCCCTCACTCCACCTCTCCCCACCTCCCTCCACCCATCTCCCTGCTCCCACCTCCCACCTCGTCTCGTCCCCCCTCCTTCCCAGGCAAGCAGAGCTTCAACGGGCCCTCACTGCACGCAATAGCCCCAGGCATGGTGAACCCATACGAGCAGGCTATTGACATCATTGGCCAGACGCTCAACCCATCTCTCCTCCCCTCCCTTCCTGTCATCCGTCCATCCCACTTCCGCTGCACTCCAGGCAAGCAGAGCTTCAATGGGCGCTCACTGCATGCAATAGCACCAGGTGCATCAAACCCGTACGAGCAGGCCATTGACATCATCGGCCAGACGCTCTCCGCCTTCGATGAAGACAACCTTATCCCCTGCTATGGCTTCGGGGATGGTATGTTCTGCCCCTTGTCTCTCCTTCTCCCGTCTCTCTCCCCGTTCTCACCTTCTCTCCCTTTCTCCACCTCCGCTCTCCGCCTTCGATGAGGGCAACCTCATCCCCTGCTATGGCTTCGGCGATGGTACGCTGCCTCCTCTGTTTCTCTGTCCCTCTCCTTGTCTCGCTCTCTGTCTCGCTCTCTGTTCACCTCTGCTCCCTCACCTCTCGGCCTTCGATGAGCACAACCTCATTCCCTGCTACAGCTTCGGCGATGATATGTCTCTTCTCTCTCCTTCTCCCTCCCACTCGCTTTTCCTCTCCCTTGAACGGTACGTTGTATGAATAACACCAAGGTACACACAAGGTAAGGCAACATCTACACACAGCCAAGCTACAGCACCAATCTACTAACCTAGCACAACTGAAGCCGCCCCTTCCCCTTCCGGCCCTAGTAGCCGGAGGGGTCTTCAATCAGTTGGTACAGCTGGCCCTCGCTCAGTGGAGTAAACGGGCCCTGCAGGCCTAGCACATCCGCGGTAAGAGCCTCATGGGTCTTATCCCTGAGGGCGTTGGCTTGGGCTCTCTGCAGGGTCACGCTCCATCGCTGCCGGTACTCGGTAAGTAGCTTAGCGACCTCCCTCGACTTTGGAGCATCGTTGAACCGCCTCTTGGCCGCTAGCTCCGCGCAGCTGCGAAGGAAATCGAGGACTCCAGGTGAGGGGTAGCCGTATGTCTTTACAGCCATGGCGTAAAAGCCCACCCAAGCGCTCCGCCCGGCGTATTTGCTCTCCTTCTTGTCCGCTTGCATCCTTGCCGCCCATCCGGGTGCCTTACGGGCGTGCTTATCCTGGTGGGAGACGGGGTCTGTGACAGTGATGTCACAAATCCATACCTCGCCGGTGTCGGGATGGCGGATAGAGATATCCGCTTTGAGGTTTTTGACTGGTGAGTAAGCCGTCGACTCCTTGTGCACTGTGAATCCTGCTTCAGCTGCTATCTTCGCGCACTCATCCTGCAGGGCGTGGTGAGTGGCTATTCTCCCCCCCCCCCCCTTTCTCACACTGCGTCAGGTGGTTCGGCAGGCGGTCGTCGGGGAAAGTGGTACGGTATATGCCGTTGCAGCGTCTTGGCACAGGTAAGGGCGGAAGGAGGCCGCCGTAGAAAACTGAGAGGGCCCGAGGCGGAGGGAAGAGATTAAGGGGACGGCGAGCAACCAGTCCCCCGCCCCAGGGCCTAGGAGGGACTGCAGCCTCTGCGTATGGCTGGACAGTGGGTTCAGCTCCATGTCCCGCGAGCTATCCAGCAGCCTAATGTACCGGGCTGTGTGTACCGCTAGGGAGAGTGCCTGTTGGAGCTTGGGCCCGTTAGGCTTTTGTCTCCCCACTTGAAGAGCCTCAATCCCGTCAGGCGGCAGCTCGGCTTCCAAGGCAGCTAGGCGTCTCGGGAGGGAGAGAAGTGGACTCCCCGTCAGCATCCATCAGCGGCAGGAGTCCTGTGAGAGCCGGGCTTGCTGAATCGCCGAAAGAGCACAACAGGTGGGTGGCAGAAACGACCGATGCCAGGTAAGCGAATCCCCCCTCCACTGCCAGGTTTGTGATGCCGAGGCCTCCCAGGGACGCGGGCAGGGCGGCCTGCTGCCAGATTCTATCCCTCTCTGCCCGGTCCCTGGGGATCGTTATGTGTGCGGCAGCCAGGTAGGTGTGGAGCAGATCTTCCCCCCAGGCGAACCAGTCCCCTAACGGCAGGGCCTCGAGCAGCGTGGCTCTGACCAGGAACGAGGCGCGGCGACTCACACAGCGGGTGAGCAGTAGCAGGCATAGTTGCGGAAAGGCGTTCGCGCACTCGGGCAGCACAGCCAGTGGGTGGCCCAATGGGGCTGCCTAAGACGCGGACACCGTCCAGTGAGATTGTGACGCCTGGGGGCAAGGTGGCAGGATCCAAGGTGGTGGCGGACCACGCTTCGCACTTCGCCGGGTTGTGAGCCAGGCCGTGGCTGAGGACGGCCTCTGTGAGGTGAGTGAAGGCCGCCGTGCAGTTCGCCGCCTCGCCTAGCAGAGTGATGTCATCTGCACACGCGAGAAGCACCACCTCCGGATGAGCCGCTGCCGTGGCAACGAGACATGGGTGGATGCTGGCTGCGAATAGCATGGGTCCCAGAGGATCACCCTGGCGCACGCCTCGAGCGCTCTGCAGTGGCTCTCCCTTTCTCTCTCCCTCTACTGACGGCCTTCCATGAGGACAACCTCAGCCCTTGCTGCAGCATCGGTGATGCTATGCTGTGACTCTGCCCATTCCCTCCACACACCCCCCCTTGTTGAACCTCCTTGAAAGCCTGAACCCCCCACGCAGCCGCCTCTCATGCAGGGGTAGGTACCGTACGCACGTGGCCCCTTCTCTTACACGGCGAGCGAGCAGGGATGTCATTGCCACGGACGGCTGCATGAGAGGGGTGCGGCATGGGCAGTGTTCGCCTTCAACGAGGGCCAGCGCCCTCTGTGCTTACCCTGCCTGACCTACATCTCCACATGCTACCTACGCCCCCCACGCCCCTCCCTCCCCCACAGTCTCAACGCACGACAAGGCAGTGTTTGCCTTCAACGAGGGGCAGCGCCCTCAGTGCTTACCCTGCGCTACCTCCCCCTCCACTCCACACCACATGCTACCCAACCCCCCCACACCCCACAGTCTCAACGCATGACAAGGCAGTGTTTGCCTTCAACGAGGGGCAGCGGCCCTGCAACGGCTTTGAGGAGGCGCTGCAGCGATACCGTGCTATCACCCCCCTCGTGCAGCTCTCAGGTATGCCTGCTTGCTTGCCTGCTTAAGCTGGGTTGGGCTGGGTTGGGTTGGGCTGGGTTGGGTTGGGCTGGGTTGGGTTGGGTTGGGTTGGGTTGGGTTGGGTTGGGTCAGCTACCGCACGTGCAGTGCTAAAGTATTGGTGCCTGAATTGGAACACATGTTTCCCGGCCACATGACTTCCCATGATTAGGAAGGAGGGTTGTGACAGGCTGTAATGTGCTGTGCTGTGTTGTGCCGTGCCGTGCCGTGCCGTGCCGTGCCGTGCCGTGCCGTGCCGTGCCGTGCCGTGCCCGGCCAACATAGGTGCTGCATTCTCCGTGCCACGTCTGACTGCCTCAGCCCTCAGGATTCCTCACCCGCCGTGCTTCCCCCCTCAACCAATCCTCTCCCCCTCTCCCCATCCTCTCCCCCATCCTTCCCCCATGTGTGCCCTCGCAGGCCCCACGTCGTTTGCCCCGGCGATAGAGGCGGCGGTGAGGGCGGTGGAGGAGAGTGGCGGGCAGTACCACGTGCTGCTCATCATTGCTGATGGCCAGGTGCAGTGCGGTGCTTCAGGGTGAATTGCTGTGCTGTGGGATGCTGCGCGGCAATGTGTATGTATGGCAGAGTGTGATGTGAGTGCCGATGTGTGGTCTTTGGTCCCTTTTTGTTTTGGTTGCCAATGGGTGGTCATGGGTGGCGTTGGGTGGTACTGGGAGGTGATGGGTGGTGGTGAGTGGTGACTTATGGTGATGTGCAGCTATGGCAGGTGATTTATCATTCCCCAGTGGTGATGGACAGGCTATGCTCACCTTAATTCGCTCTAGACCTTGGAATGGCGTTGTTTAAGGGGACAGAAATTCCTCCTGGGTTCACCCAAAAAGGGTGACTCTTGAGTGGACTCGAGTGTCCCAACAGCAGAGTTGCATGTGATTGGGCTGATTTCTCTTTCTTCACCCGCTTCTCTCACTTGCCTCCCCCACCACAGGTCACTCGCAGCGTTGACACGCCACCAGGAGTGTTCAGCAGGCAGGAGCAGGCCACTGTTGACGCCATCGTTGCTGCCAGGTCGGTCTCTGTTGCTGCCAGGTCGGTCTCTGTTGCTGCCAGGTGGGTCTCTGTTGCTGCCAGGTCGGCCTCTGTTGCTGCCAGGTGGGTCTCTGTTGCTGCCAGGTGGGTCTCTGTTGCTGCCAGGTGGGTCTCTGTTGCTGCCAGGTCGGTCTCTGTTGCTACCAGGTGGGTCTCTGTTGCTGCCAGGTCGGTCTCTGTTGCTGCCAGGTCGGTCTCTGTTGCTGCCAGGTCGGTCTCTGTTGCTGCCTGGTCGGTCTCTGTTGCTGCCAGGTCGGTCTCTGTTGCTGCCAGGTCGGTCTTTGTTGCTGCCAGGTGGGTCTCTGTTGCTGCCAGGTCGGTCTCCGTTGCTGCCAGGTCGGTCTCCGTTGCTGCCAGGTCGGTCTCTGTTGCTGCCAGGTTGGTCTCTGTTGCTGCCAGGTCGGTCTTTGTTGCTGCCAGGTGGGTCTCCGTTGCTGCCAGGTGGGTCTCCGTTGCTGCCAGGTCGGTCTCTGTTGCTGCCAGGTCGGTCTCTGTTGCTGCCAGGTCGGTCTCTGTTGCTGCCAGGTCGGTCTCTGTTGCTGCCAGGTCGGTCTCTGTTGCTGCCAGGTCGGTCTCTGTTGCTGCCAGGTGGGTCTCTGTTGCTGCCAGGTCGGTCTCTGTTGCTGCCAGGTGGGTCTCTGTTGCTGCCAGGTGGGTCTCTGTTGCTGCCAGGTCGGTCTCCGTTGCTGCCAGGTCGGTCTCTGTTGATGCCAGGTCGGTCTCTGTTGCTGCCAGGTTGGTCTCTGTTGCTGCCAGGTCGGTCTTTGTTGCTGCCTGCCAGGTGGGTCTCCGTTGCTGCCAGGTGGGTCTCCGTTGCTGCCAGGTCGGTCTCTGTTGCTGCCAGGTCGGTCTCTGTTGCTGCCAGGTGGGTCTCTGTTGCTGCCAGGTGGGTCTCTGTTGCTGCCAGGTGGGTCTCTGTTGCTGCCAGGTCGGTCTCTGTTGCTACCAGGTGGGTCTCTGTTGCTGCCAGGTCGGTCTCTGTTGCTGCCAGGTCGGTCTCTGTTGCTGCCAGGTGGGTCTCTGTTGCTGCCAGGTCGGTCTCTGTTGCTGCCAGGTCGGTCTTTGTTGCTGCCAGGTGGGTCTCTGTTGCTGCCAGATCGGTCTCCGTTGCTGCCAGGTCGGTCTCTGTTGCTGCCAGGTGGGTCTCTGTTGCTGCCAGGTTGGTCTCTGTTGCTGCCAGGTCGGTCTTTGTTGCTGCCAGGTGGGTCTCCGTTGCTGCCAGGTGGGTCTCCGTTGCTGCCAGGTCGGTCTCTGTTGCTGCCAGGTCGGTCTCTGTTGCTGCCAGGTTGGTCTCTGTTGCTGCCAGGTCGGTCTCTGTTGCTGCCAGGTCGGTCTCTGTTGCTGCCAGGTGGGTCTCTGTTGCTGCCAGGTGGGTCTCTGTTGCTGCCAGGTCGGTCTCTGTTGCTGCCAGGTGGGTCTTCGTTGCTGCCAGGTGGGTCTCTGTTGCTGCCAGGTCGGTCTCCGTTGCTGCCAGGTCGGTCTCTGTTGCTGCCAGGTGGGTCTCTGTTGCTGCCAGGTTGGTCTCTGTTGCTGCCAGGTCGGTCTTTGTTGCTGCCTGCCAGGTGAGTCTCCGTTGCTGCCAGGTGGGTCTCCGTTGCTGCCAGGTCGGTCTCTGTTGCTGCCAGGTCGGTCTCTGTTGCTGCCAGGTCGGTCTCTGTTGCTGCCAGATGGGTCTCTGTTGCTGCCAGGTCGGCCTCTGTTGCTGCCAGGTGGGTCTCTGTTGCTGCCAGGTGGGTCTCTGTTGCTGCCAGGTGGGTCTCTGTTGCTGCCAGGTCGGTCTCTGTTGCTGCCAGGTCGGTCTCTGTTGCTGCCAGGTGGGTCTCTGTTGCTGCCAGGTGGGTCTCTGTTGCTGTCAGGTCGGTCTCTGTTGCTGCCAGGTGGGTCTCTGCTGCTGCCAGGTGGGTCTCTGTTGCTGCCAGGTCGGTCTCTGTTGCTAGGTGGGTCTCTGTTGCTGCCAGGTGGGTCTCTGTTGCTGCCAGGTCGGTCTCTGTTGCTGCCAGGTGGGTCTCTGTTGCTGCCAGGTGGGTCTCTGTTGCTGCCAGGTGGGTGTCTGTTGCTGCCAGGTGGGTCTCTGTTGCTGTCAGGTGGATTTCTTCTGCTGCCATGTGTTGTTCGTGGGCAGTATTGATATGGACAGCACTCATGTGGAGCGCTGACTTGGTTACAAGGAATCTGCATCTGCCGTTTCGCTTTGTGTCGTCCTCCTCCAAAAAGTGCTCGCCGCCACGCCACGAGCTCATGCTTCGGCCCTTCCACATGCCTCCTTCCCTCCTCCCCCCCTATCGCAGCAACTACGCGCTGTCAATCGTGATGGTGGGAGTGGGGGACGGCCCATGAACCATGCTTCTCTAAGCCCTCATTGCACCCTCCCCCACACACCCCTCCCCCCCTCTCGCAGCAACTACGCACTGTCAATAGTGATGGTGGGGGTGGGTGCCGGCCCATGAAACATGCTTCCCTCTTACCCCCCTGCACCCTCCTCCTACCCCCCTCCTCCCCTCCTCACCTCCTCCCCTCCTCCCGCAGCAACTACGCGCTGTCAATAGTGATGGTGGGGGTGGGCGACGGCCCGTGGGACACGATGGAGGAGTTTGACGATGCTCTGCCGCAGCGCAACTTTGATAACTTCCAGGTGGGCTGGATGGGCATGGCATGGTGTCAGTTTATTGCCAGCGTGCTGCCTTTAAACCCTCACCCCCCCACCTGTTCCCTCCTTCCTTTTCCCACACACCTCAGTTTGTCAACTTCACTCAGGTGATGGCAGCAGAAAAGCCAAGATTCGACCCAGATCCAGCAGTCCAAGCTCGTCCTAATACTCACTACTTGCTATTGTCAACATCACAATGGATTAGGTAGACAACTGAGTGTCCTAGTATTCCAACTGAGCGTCCTTCTCTCCCACATCTCAGTTTGTCAACTTTACTCGGGTAATGGCGGCACCATGTGCACCGGAGTCTTTGAGTCGACTCAAATCTTCTTTCCCCCTTGTCTCTCTCTCACACATGTTTTTCTCTCCTTACGACCTCAGTTTGTCAACTTCACGCGGGTCATGGCATCATCACGCGCGCCGGATCAGCGCACAGCACTCTCTCAACACTCATGGTCATGCCTCTCCCTCCCCCCCTCTCCGCCCCTTTCCCTCCCCCCACATCAGTTTGTCAACTTCACGAGGGTAATGGCATCATCACGTGCACCAGAGCAGCGGGCGGCACTCTTTGCCCTCTCTGCGCTCATGGAGGTGCCTCATCAGTACCGCGCCTGCACCGAGCTGGGACTCCTGGGGTGAGTTCTGCTGTTTGGGTGAGTTGAGTGGATTCGTGCTGTGTGCTGGGAGGTCAATAGACTGCCCCTCTCTTTGCCGTCTCAGCGCTCATGGAGGTGCCTCATCAGTACCGCGCCTGCACCGAGCTGGGGATGCAGGGGTGAGTTCATTGGTGCTGCATGCTACTTGTGCACTTGGGCTTTGTTGAGTGGGCTGGTGCTGCGGCATGCTGGGAGCCCAAGAAGTTGCCTCGCTCTTTGCCCTCTCAATGCTCATGGAGGTGCCTCTACAGTTCCGAGTTGATCAGTGCTGCATGCTCTGTCCTGCCTGGATTCATACTCAGGTAAGTGATTGTGGGTCCGCATAATGACGTGCCTTTTGAAGTACGGTTCTCTGGTTATAGGGTTGAGTGAAGAAGAGTCGAGTGCTCTGTTGATGTGCAGCAATTGCTGAGCTTGGAGCATTGCTAGCTCCACGAGTAAGCGAGTGAAGGGTGGAACTAAGGCGACGTTAGATTCAGGCAGGTGACTCTGGCAGGCAGACAAAAAAGGTGGTTCCAACGAGGTTTGAACTCGTGACCTTTTGCGTGTAAAGTAAACGTGATGACCACTACACCATGGAACTATATCTGATGCTGTTATTTTCCTTGTATATCAGTGATCCTCGCCTCTCCCCTCCCTCATGTTGGTAACATGTATCCCACTCTCCTCTCTCCCCCCCTTCTCCTCTCTCCCCCCCTTCCCCTCTCTCCCCCCCCTTCTCCTCTCCCGCCCCCCTTCTCTCCCCCCCCTTCTCTCCCCTTCACCTCCGCACTCCCTCCCCTCCAGTCGCCCCATGGGACGCTTGCCACCATCAGCCCCCAAGGAGCCCCCTCCACGCGTGCGAGCAGCAGATGCTGCAGCAGCCCAAGCTGCATCCCTCGCTGCTGCCAACATTCCCCCGCACCTCAACCCTAATAATCTCAACCCATCCGACTTCAACCCCGGCAACACTCCTAACCCCTTCGGAAACTTCATGGACGCCCCTGCTGCTTACGGCTATGGCGCTGGCAGCTCTGCCACACCCACAGGCGCTGCTGCTGCTGCTGACTCTGCGTCGGGCTCTGGTGGTGCGTCAGCAGCAGGAGGGGGGACGGAGTGCCCGGTGTGCCTCATGTACCCCAAGAACACTGCCTTCCAGTGCGGCCACCAGGTGAGGAGTGTAAACTAGGTGAGGAGTGTAAACTAGGTGAGGAGTGTAAACTAGGTGAGGAGTGTGCAGCAGGTGAGGAGTGTGCAGCAGGGGACGCTTACAGCAGGTGAGGGCCACACGTTCCTGAGTTCATAGGGTCATGCCGTGCCTCTTGAAAACACACTGCTTTCCAGTGCGGCCACTAGGTGAGGACCAAACACCCTCCACTGCACCAGGTAAGGCCTTCCCCAGTTGAGCCTGTACACACTTCTCACGACTTAAAAAGCCACCTGCGTTTAGCTTGGCTCACTCGAAGCATGCTTCATACACTCCTGTCTGGTCACTCAGTGAGAATCATACACTGTACTGAAAACCATTGCCTTACACTCAGAGGGTGCAGCCATGTGTATTGCATCTTATTCCTGCCTCACCCGCATCAGGTTTTTGCAGAGATTTAGTGTGCTGCTGTGCGATGTCTTTCATGTGTAGCGTTTAAGCTCTGTTTGTTACCGTACCATTCCTCCCATTCCAATGTGCACTTTCTCCTTGGCAGACCTGTGAGGAGTGTGGCAAGCAGATGAACAATTGCCCCATATGCCGTGCACCCGTTACCATGCGCATCAAGCTGTACAGTTAAATAAGTGCATGCATTGTAAATGTGCACAACCAGCATTGTCAAGGGTGCTTGATGAGTCACAGTAAAACGTCATCTCCTTGAAATAGGTTACACTAGAGAGTGGATCTGTTACGTTGTAAAAGTCAACATATCTACATAATAAAAACAGCCCAGCATGTTAGAAGTATCACCTTTTGTGCTTGACTGCACAGAAAGCATGTTTGCAATGCTGTGATGCAACCTCTAGTCACAGTCGTGTCTGTACTGGGCAGCGGTGTGCTGCTGGTGTAAACTGGAACAGTTGGACGAGTGGGAAGCAAGCAAGCAATTTCTCTCTAGCCACAGTCCGGTCTACACCCACCCCTAGCAAAGCAATTTCCCCTCGAACTGTATGTTCACAGCATGTTACCCACAGTGAAACTGAAAATCAAGTTATTATGTGACTGCTTGATCACCTGTACTTGTGGCTAGATCCACTAAATGTACACATGTTGTACATGTTATGCAGTTCTTCATGTATGAAGGCCTGCCTTGATCGCTTCGCCTGCATTGGAGCTACTTATGGTAAGACACGTTGGTCACAAGAACGATGATGCTTAGATATCCCCTGGTACACTGTAGGTGCTCTGGTGGAAACAAGATCCTCAGGTTGAGGGAGGGGCTTCTTGTCGTGAGCAGCTAAATAGGAGTACAAATCGCTGTGCTGAGGGATTCAAGAGGCGTGTTACTTAGTGTACAGCACGTCCTCCCACGGGTGGCGGTACAGCGGCTGCTTGAGCCGCTTCTGGTCAAACGTGTGCCTGGGAGGAAGGTGCACGCAAGGGAGGTGCACGGCAGGGAGGTGTATGGCAGGGCGCAGGCCAAGGGGAAGACAACGAGGCAAGTGACAGGTGAGTGAAGGGTCATGGTAGCAGCGAGCTGGAGCATGCACGCACTGCAGCGGCAGCAATACTGGTGAGGGCTATCAATGCAGACCATCCCGATGTACCAAGTCCGCAATGACAGCCATATTCCAATCCCAGCCACCCATACCCTGACATCTCATTGATGAGTACCGATGCTCCTGGACAGCACGAACCTGTTTAGGTACCACACGGCCAGATTTTTTTTGGCGCCTCAAAAGTCGTCTCTTATCCAGCAATTTTTATGGACAGCACGAACCTGTTTAGGTACCACACAGCCAGAATCTGGAACAAGGGTGCTGGTAGTGCCATGCTCCTGTCCTTCTTGATGAATATGGCGCGTGGCACTACCAGCAGCACCCTCCAGACTCCCTCACAACCCCACAGTACAAAAAAATCTCACTTAATAAGCCCGATGCTCCTGGAGAGCAAGAGAAGCCCCGCAACCATGATGTCATCTCCTTGCTTACATGGAACATGACACAAGCAACACCCCCCAACACCCCCACACCCCTGCATCTCACCACACCAGCCCCCAAGTTTATGTCTCACCCGATGAGCCCAATGCTCCTGGAGAGCACAAACAGTCCATTGAGGTACCCCACAGCCACGATGTCGTCAATCTCCTCCTTTGTAAACATGGCGCAGGACGTGAGCAGGTCCAGGAAGAGCGCGCCGATGCAGCCATCCACGTTGAGCACCAGGTTGGCCGCCTTGGTGAGCGTGTATGTTTCCACCGCCACTGCATAGTCCATGTGCTTCACTGAAGGGAAGGAGGAACGCGCGTAAGCCTGCAGGAGCTCCACTCGCTTGTCGCGGTTGTCACGACTCTTGATGCTGGTGGGGATGGTGGGAGTGGAGGAGTTGCCAAGGCGAAGCGTGTGAGGATGGAATGAGAAGGGAAGTGGTGAAGGGGAGTGAGTGAGTCAGTGCAGCAGAGGCGGTCGGTGACTGCACACTTTAGGTGCTTGCATGTCGCATCACATGACACCCCACCATGCTTCAATAGAAGAAAGCATCACATGACACCCCACCATGCTTCAATAGAAGAAAGCATCACATGACACCCCACCATGCTTCAATAGAAGAAAGCATCACTGCTGTACAGTTGCACACTGTGTCATGCCCGCACCCAAATGAGTACATGGCATGTCATGCCACCATGCAACGTCACATACACCATGGCCAATGCCACATCACGTACCGATGGTCAATGCCACATCACGTACCGATGGCCAATGCCGGGAACTCGGATGCCCTTCCTCTTCATTCCCTCCACAAAGTCATACGGACTCAGCCCCTGCACACACATGCCATGGCATTGCATTGCATGTCGTTCAGCATGTTATGATGCATGGTAACATGATCATGCCAGATTATCCACAGCATGGAGAGAGGAAACGGGCATAGCCCATACAGTGGCACAAGTGATGCCATGAGGTGAAGCTTGAGTTTACTCAAATAGCAACACAGGCCAGGAACAGTGGCAACGGCGTGGGGATTCGTAGGTGCTTGAAACAACGAAACAAGATGCCAAGTACTTGGAATCTTGTTTGTTTAACAACGTGCTCACCCGCTCAACGGCGTCCTTGAAGTAGCGAGCTGCATCGTCAATGGCTCCTCCGAAGCGCGGGCCGATGGTGAGCAGCCCTGCGAGACAGAGGAGGCAGAATGGCGGGTAACAGGAAGATGAACAAATGAGGGAAATCACCAAGAGAAGGAGCTGTTTGGCCACAGCCCTGGGGAATGATTGATTACAGAAGGGAACGGCATCACACGGCAGCACTAGATTTGCAATATCATGAAGGGCTGGCAGATGATGCAAGGGAAGGGCGTGTATACTGCACAAAATGCAATCCTCAGCCTTGGTAGGACAGGACAGGGTAGATGCAGTCCAACCGCAAAACATAACACATGCATTATTCACGAAAAGTACAATAGAAGTACGCTATCTGCAAAGCTGTAGAGGGTGGGAAACACCAAGTGGTGGCCTGGTTTGTAACAAGGGAGCGCACCAGAGACGAGGCAGGAGATGAGGTCCTTGCCGGCTCGCGACGTGACAATGGAGTTGTGTGCTCCGGACACACAGGGGCCGTGGTCCGCACATAGCACCACACACATCTGCGAGGGGTGCAGGGACGGCAAGGGAGGGAAAGGGAAGGCAAAGTGGCAGGAGAAGCGGCAGGAGTAGTGGCAGGAGCAGTGGCAGGAGCAGTGGCAGGATGGGAGAGGAGAAGATGGTGCTGATACAGAAGACCAGGAGGAGATGGTGGTGGTGGGAGACGCCCACATGACGCAGAAATTCCAAACCGTGAATTCGCACCACCACCAACACCATCACCATCAACACTGAGGGCATGAGGCAATTGTATCATGCTTTAGTCTAATGGGGGTCTGACCACCAAAGAACATGCGAGGGGGCCATGCTGCTCTACAAATAGAAGTGAAATGTTTTGTGGATGCTGATGAAAGGGACCATGGAGGGGGGAGGATGAGGCTGCATAGATGGAGTGGTTGAGGATCTAAGGCTGCCTCAACACAACGCTGCTAGGGAAGGGGAGAGCAGAGCACCTCAATGAACTTGGTGCAGTAGGCGGGGAGGGAGCGCTTGAACCAGAGCAGGCACATGACGTCCCCCACGCCAAATCCCTTCTCCACTATGGTTGAGATGGGCACCCCCGCGTATGTCGGCTCCTCGCCTGCAGCGAGCAGAGAGAGGCGGATAGGCACACAAAGGCAGCCAGGAGATCGTCAAGACATGGGTATGATGAGGAATGATGCAACTGAATAAACCTATATAGGCATGTGCACAAGAATGTTAGAGACATGAGGTTGGTTGGACTGGTGTAGTGACTGGTGGTGCAGTGAATGCCATGGATGAGCAAAGATTGGCACAAGGGAACTTGCAAAGGTGCTGTGTCTTTCACATGCCGACATGCCTACGTCACATGCTCTACCCATTGGCCACCGCTCACGCCACATTAACGCTTACCTCTGTCGCCACAGAGAGGGGTGACAATGTGGGTGAGACAAATCCTGTGACGCCTCAGAAATCCTCTCACCTCTCTGCCGCCAAAAATGGTGGAGATGATGAGGATGGGATGGGAGGATTCTCGAGGCACCGAAGGAAAAAACATTCTCACCTCTGTCGTCGCAGATGGTGGAGACGATGTGTGTGAGACGACTTTTGGGGCGCCTCAGAAGAAATCCTCTCACTCACCTCTGTCGTCACAGATGGTGGAGACGATGTGGGTGGGGGCGCGCACTTTGCCCGCCTTGATGGCCGCTGTGAGGTCCTCCGGCACTGTGGGCGGCTGCTTCTCCGCCACTGGCTGGATGGCACCCTCTGCCACCTGCACGCAACCGGCAGGCGTGTTGGGGACGGAAGGGGGAGTCACGAGATTGAGGGGAACGAGGGCTGTGAGGTCCTCCGGCACCGTGAGGGGCTTCTTCTCCGCCACTGGCTGGATGCCATGGCACCCTCTGCTACCTGGGGACCAACAGCAAGGCATGACGGAGGGGGGTAAGAAAGTTGAGGGCGAATCTGGAGAATGAGGTGGTGTGAAAAGGCTTTAGGAAACTGTGGCGGCTGCCTGCTAGTGGTTCCCCTGGAATGCGGAGAATACCAGAATATACAGCAAGTGACGAGCAGAGGGTGGGTTGAGAGTCGTCGGGAGCACGTAGTGATATCCATTCAATACATGAGAGAAAGCCGAGGTCGTGAAGGATAGTTCATCTGGCACTGAGGGCAGCTGTATCTTGTGATCGCAAGCTGTGTGTGTGTGCCACTCACGAGCTTCTCATAGGTGGCGCGGATGACTGTCTCCAGATCCTCAAACGACGTCAGTACATAGTGACATTAATTTGATAAACCAGAGAGAGCCAGGCTGGCACTGAGGGCAGCTGTATGTAACTTGAGTCTAAGCTTTGTGTGAGTGAGACTCACGAGCTTCTCATAGGTGGCGCGGATGACTGCCTCCAGGTCCTCAAACGACGTCGGCACGATGGCCCCTGCTGCCTTCAGCGCCGCGTTCTTCGCCTGCGCTGACTCGCTCTCCCCTCCGCTCTTGGCGCCCTGGGGAAACAATCGTGGAGGGCGAACATCAGGGTTACAGAGTT